AAAATGTCAGTTTGAAGAAGGTTGGACAATTCAGGAGATCACTATGATGATTAGCCAACCTGATGGTTCGTGGAATCCCGCAATACTCAATAACGATAGTTTTGAATGGATCTATTACTTTCCTAGTATGTCCATGGTGTATTTGCATTTATCGTTGCAGGCAAATACACCCGTTACACAGTTTGAGGATTTTACTCCTAGTTACGGGGGAGTGTTTGATGTTGAGGGTACATCGACTTCTCATGTACCTAATTTTGGAGAACGGACATCGCGAGAATGGGCGACGGATGAGGAAGATGAAGATTTTATTCCCGGTGAAGATGACTTCACAGACGAGACCTCAGAAACCGAATCAGATAGATCAGTTAATGAGGAGAGTGAAGCTGAGTTCATCGAAGAAAAACACCCATTTCCTATTGGTGGTCGGCACATATACCGCAAGATGGGTGAATGGGACCCGTCCAGGATAGATGCGAACGAGTATGCTATTCCACGATGAAATGGCGACATTGAGACCATACGTTTGGGTATAGTTTTCCGGAGCAGGGAAGAAGCCCAAACGGGTCTAATGGCTTGGAACGTCGATAGGTTGCGGGAGGTTCGGACAAAAGATTCAAATCAGAAGTCATTCAAACTGGTCTGCAAATCGAATGCAGATGTGCCTTGTCTGTGGAAGGCTCGGGTGAATAAGTCCAGACGGCGTGATGATTTGTGGGAAGTAACGGAATGGACTGACCAACACACTTGCATGCAACAAGTCGACAGAAATGACCACAGAAACGTGACCGCCCATATGATTGCGAATCTTATTAAGATTCAGAAGAAAGTGGAGTACAACATTAACATGGTCCAGGCTGATGTGAAGCAGTGTTGGAAAGTCGACGTAAGTTACAAGAAGGCATGGCACGGCAGAAAAAAAAAAAGCAATCGAGTGTGTGTACGGCAGTTGGGAGTCGAACTTCGCAGAACTCCCTCAGTAAGCAAAAATTAATTACAAATATACGTGTTTTTTGTCTGTCAGTATGTTTATTTATTTATGAAATTGTTTTGTATTGTACAGATATTTTTCTGCGCTTCAAAGAGTGAATCCCAACACAGTTGTAGATTGAGAATTTCAGGGTGGTGATGTGGCACGACACGTTCCAGACAGAGAATTCAAATTCGTGTTCTGGGCGTTTGGTCCCGCGATTCAAACCTTCGACATGTGCCCGCCGGTTATTAGCGTCGATGGCACACATTTACGTGGACATTACAAAGGAAAATTGCTCGTGGCCATAGCACAGACTGTGAATAAGCGGCTATTGCCAATCGCGTATGCGCTTGTCGACGAAGAAAGCACGGACAATTGGTCATTTTTCCTTAAGAATCTGTGGCGGTATATTGTATTCGACAAATAGATATGCGTTCTTTCTGACAGTGATGTGGGCCTACGTAGTGCGATTGAATCATTACCGGATTGGCAAGAACCCGTTGCGTATCACCGGATTTGCCTTCGACATCTTCGAAGCAACGTGGTGACTCGGTTCAGGAGTAAGAAAGTACGGGATTGGTGTTGGGAGTTGGGTTCGCAGTTGTCGAAGCAAAAGTTTCGACAGACAAAACAGTAACTTCAAGAATTTAATCCCGACGCATACAATTATCTTTCCAATATTCCTTTGAACTAGTGGACCCTGTATCAAGATGAAAAACATTGATGGGGCACTTTGACAATGAATATGTCGGAGAGTTACAACAATGTCCTGAAAGGGGTTAGGTTCCTGCCGTGCAGAGCTTTGGTAGAGGCCACATTTCAAAAAACTCTGGATTTGTTTCGACAAGAACAAAACAAGTCCAGCAGATGCATGAGTCCCATTGCTAGGGAGCACTATATCGCATTTTTGCAGTTGGAGCAAACAGCCACAACTCACGAGGTGGAATGTACGGACTATGACAGATCCATGTACGCGGTGACAACTGGTTTATGTGCTAGTGGAAGAGGGCAAAACAAGTAAGTATATGTTTTTTTTTTTGTTCATTCATTTTTTTTTTATTTTGTATATATATAAATAAATGTGAAAATACAGGTATAAGGTTGATTACCCCGCAAAACGTTGTACTTGTCGGAAGTGGCAGACGCATAGAAAACCATGTTCTCACGCGATAGCCGTCTGTCGTAGAATTGCGGGTGACCCAAAGTTGTTGTACAATGATCACTTCTGGACGTCGACCTGGGTAGCTCAATTTACTAATTGGAGTTTTACTCCGATTGGTAATCCAGATACATGGCCGCTGGTGGGATGGAATTTGATTCCACACTGGGAGAGGATCATCTTGAAGCCTGGACCCGGTCGCAAGCAAACGAGACGCTACCGCATGCAAATGGATCGTCGGGCACGACGCAGAAATGAGAGGGGGCATTGTACTAGATGCGGTGATCCAGAGCATGTTGTGGATGAGTGTCCGTCCTCACATCCTCGTAGCGATAGGTCTAGACTTCGTGATGTGTAGGGAGATTAGATTTTTTATTGTTTATTTGGATTTGTTTGGATTATTTATTTGGATTTGGTTGGATTATTTATTTTGTTTTGTTTGTATGATTTATTTGGACTTGGTTTGATGATATTTAAGGTATATAGGTTGATTTTTTCTTGTAATTTTGGTTTAGTTGGTTGTTTTGAATATTTAAAACAGGTGCGTTCGAGTCGTGTGATCATCACCAAGTTTTTTATTCTTTTTTCCCAGTTTAAAACGTATTTGTAGAATACGTTCTATAAATAATTCAGCTGAAAACGTTTACGTTTTATGTAAAACGTATTCTGAGAATACGTTTTACAAATAAGTCATTATTAAACGGATTCTGAGAATCCGTTTTATATAAAAATAAAATGGTTGAGGCTCCCAGATTGGGGACTCGAACCCGGGTCAATGGGTGAGTCCGGTTTCTCTGGGCGCACCTCGAACCATTGTGCCGGCAGACGCTTTCCGATTAGTTTTTTACAAATTATATACATCTACATAAAAATATAATATAGATTATAGAATAAATTGTAATTTATACTATATGTTATATTACTATATGTTATAACATATAGTATAAATTACAATATGTTATTCTATAAATTATTACTATATGTTATATTACTATAAATTATTCTATATGTTATTACTATAAATTATTACTATATGTTATTCTATAAATTATTACTATATGTTATAACATATAGTAATATAACATATAGTATAAATTACAATTTATTCTATAATCTATATTATATTTTTATGTATATGTATATAATTTGTAAAAAACTAATCGAAAAGTGTCTGCCGACACAATGGTTCGAGGTGCGCCTAGAGAAACCGGATTCACCCATTGACCCGGGTTCGAGTCCCCAATCTGGGGGCCTCAACCATTTTTTTTTTTTTTAAAAAACGGATTCTCAGAATCCGTTTTATAAATAAATCAAAGTAAAACA